CACACTAAGAGAACGAATTTCTTAAAGGAATCCTTCGCGGAAAATTCTTGCATTCTTTCTTGACATGAATGTGTCAGTTGTGATCACTGGAAACAGCACACAAAGTTTCACGCATGAAGATTCGGTTTCCGAAGAGAAACAAACGTACAAAAACTACACGTTATGGACATCGAAGGTAATTCGGGCGGAGCCAAACGAGGCATGGAAAGAAGTTGGCCTTTGGCCGGCTACGTATCAGGCGACGCAATGAGGAATCGGGTTAAAGCGCGCGATTTCGGAGAGTAGAGACAAATCGATCGATAGAATAGGATGGAGTAGAAGTGTAAGATGTGAATGCAATAAAGCAGAAGGCCAGAAAGAGTTTCTAGTGAAGGCACTCCAAGAACCAAGTGGAAGCATCCCCGTCGCCAGCATTTGTGAAAGACGTCCGTGGGCACTTTGAACGCGTAGCAGCCCTTTCGATTTTTCGAATTTTTTACCAAAACGAAAGCAATATTTCTGTTCTTTTCATTATTATCGTGGATAATGAGTCTCAAGCCAGTGATTTATGGCTGAAATAGAATCATGATTTTTCCGCGCAGGATTCCTTTATAAATAATTTAGCGGATTCCTGCCGAACGATAAATTCTTGGAATCACTTTTTGTATATAGTGCTTTTCCTTCAAGCGCCTAATCATGCCAATTTCTAGACGACACCAAAGCCTTTGCAAGCAACAACGGAAGAGGTGGAGTATGAAATTGTGGAGGTCGAAGTAGACGAAAATGGCAACGAAATCGAAGGCGAAAAGTTAGAGAGTTCTGTGGAGCAACCTATCAATGGAGAACGGGCCCAGAAAGTACCAAACGCACAAAGGAGTGGGGAAGTGCAGGAGGATGAGCCACTCGGAAAGCGGAAAAACCACGAATTGGGAGAGCAGGAGGAACGGAGAAAATTGGTGGAGGCTCAGAAGCGAGCTTTGAATCTTCCGGTCGACACCGAGGTTGAATATTTTGACAATGGTTAGTGGGCTTATTCCTTTTGTGATTTTCTAGTGAGGGCATTTTGTCAAGGTAACAATCAGGTGACAATATAAAGAATGAAAATGGTGCACGCCCAATATCCGCTATCCTTCGCATGCGTTTTTCTGAACTTAACAGGACAACGGAGAAATAATCCGGCATTCAGCATTTTTTTGTGAATGCGCCAGACATTCCATTTACATCGAAACTCGTAGCGGCATGTGAATGCCAGTTGGCTTACGACAATAACTTACGAGGCCAGTGCATGTTCAGTTTAGGGAGGTGTCATACGTTGCGCTGAAACGCTCAATTTGCAAGCGTGATTTGTATGATCCGGAATTCCGGTTTTCTCTATACTGCAGTTGGCGAGTTTGCTCCACGTATTTTCTCACCGTGAAGAGTGCACAAAGAATGCGACATTATCTCATTGCCGATGTTGCTTCTCGACGTGGGGACGACATTTTTGACGCGTGGGAAGGTGCGGCTCGATGTGAAGACGCAGCATTCAGATAATTCTTCTGCCCAGGATTTTCAAAATTATTGTAATGGAATATTGAATTAGGAAGGCATGTCATACTTATGGTAGTCATGGTCCGTGCATCTTTTTATAATCAGTATTTTACACATGTTGAGTGTAACCTTTCAAAGCAAAGTTCGTTATTTTCGAGTGTGTACGGCTGGCTCTTGCTTTTATTTTACTGAGTAGGGATACAAGCTTCCACAAAATGACATCTGGATGAGACTCCATTTACGGGTTTTGATATGGAAAAATGAAGTTTTAATGGCTTGCAACCCACCCTGGGCCAAACAGAAAGATTTATGCCTATTTTGGTAGCGATCAGCAAGGTTCGAGTCGTGCAAAGTCTCAACAGTGTCTGCTTTGAGATTCAACATTTTTGGTGCAGGTGGTTAGCACATTATGACGCATTTTTCGAAAATATCAAAAAGCGTTGTCCAACGTGGCAGACATGCGAAAACCGCATTGTCGCCAACGGGATATCGGTGTAAGCCTTCCACTTTCGTTTCCTCTCGTATAAACTCTCCACGGCTAAGGAAAGGCTCGTGAAGTGTACTAACCATAAGCGCCATAATTAGGGAAGGCGAAATTATGGAGTCGTGCCAACCGCGATTCGCACTCGCGAGTCGCGTACTCGATTGCAAAATTTGACCCGACCTTAGTGCTTTCAATTTCTTAGGGAAGGATACCAAGTCGAAGTGGCCATCCGTGATGAAACCTAAACTCAGAGATGTGTTTTTAGACGCTGATCTCGAATCCACTCTTTTGCGAAACGATTCTCTGAAAAGTGTTACGGAAGTTGTTTCGTGGAGCCTTTAAGATACTGCGGTCAGTTCACCTTCCAGCGGTGGCTTGGCCGAGTGGTAGTGTTGGCTGTTTTCAGGGGTGAGACCATGGATGGGATCTTGCTGGGCATGAACTAGGTCTAATCTAAATAATATAAAAAATTATTCAGTGTTGAAATTTTCACTGCGTCCAAAGCTAGCGCAGGTTAGGGGGTTTGTTTCAGCTTCACTTTTTTCGTAGATGTTTCGGACGCTGTTCGGGGTGTTTCTCGCATCGGAATTGAGTTTAAATATACACAATTGGGAATCGACGATGCTGTCTAAACAATGGGGAGTTGCGTCGCTATACGCCAAATATCTTGAAGCTTATTGTAGAAGCTGCATTTGGAACCGATTTTGAAGAATTCTGGGTCTAGTTGTTTTCCTAGCCAGCATACCCGCCTGCTTCTCGCTGGGCAAGTATCGTACATGAAAAATATCATTGATTTCGGATGGCCGAGCAGTAGCGCAGGGCGATTATCTCTCTTTCCGATATGGCTGCGAGTTCAATCAATCCCAGTAGGCTCTGACAGTGGGTTGATGGATAGATGACTGCCCACATTTTCGACTTCAAGTCAAAATTTTAGATTTGGACCAAATGTTGTTGAAAGGGGTGTTTCGACGCGCTGAACACGAATATCGCATCTGCTTGGCACGAAATTGCCTTACGCGTGCGCTACGGGTGTCAGAGGCGGTCACTTGCAAATGACGCGCACAGTGCTCGAAGCTCTTCGCCAGCTCTGTTTACTTGTGCTATAGGCAATCGCTGATAACTTAGCATGGATAAGAGTCCCTTAAACAACGTTCACAAGAAAAGCAAAAGTGAGAACTCGCCAAGAACTCGAACTCACGACCTCTCGTTCGTTGAGCCGCACCGCTGCCCCTGCACTATCTCGCTTCATAATTATGTTCAAAGAGTCGTTTCAGATTTGGAGAGCTGATTTGAGATAAGCGTCCAAACACATTTAGTGGTGTTATGTTCGTAAACAGTGCGCCACTTTCGATGGTGAATTCCTTGTTAGATGAGGCTACGGTACCCATAACCTCTTCACTGCAGTCTGCACTTGGCAGCATTAAACAGCGTTTGCTAGCCGGTATATAGATGGCATGCTTTTGATCCGTACTGTTAATTCATATCCAGAAACTACGAACACGGCTGACGCATCGCCTGACGGTGGATGAGTGCGTCGCGAGAAAGTGGATCTTTTCGGGTGAGCAGATGGAGCGAGTAAGCAAAAGTATCATTAGCTTTTCAGTTCTATATTTTCTTATCGTCTTTCTTAATACGGGCCTTGCCGTCGTCACTTGACATGTGTTCGATTAGTTGCTTATTCTTATCATTGAGAGACTGTTGAGTTCACATCGAAAGTAATGGCTATGGCTCACATTTGTTTTTGTAATTTTCCCCACTTCCTAATTCGTTGGGAATCTATCTGAGCGTGGAAGTGTATGGCAGTCTTAATGAATTCATTTAATAAACAATGGGTTTGTATTATTATAAATGTGATATTGCTGTGCATAACGATATATAGTCTTGTCATGAAGGCGGATGCACTTTCACGGAAATACCCTAATTCCCGGTAGATAAGCCCGCCGACTTCACTTGAGAACTCTTCTGCTCGTGCAGTCTAATTTTGCGCATCTTAGAAACGACCGTAATTCGGCTATAACCCATTCGTGCCCCATACGAATGGCTTTTTTTGCGGTTCCTGGCGCATTTGAGTCGCCGTGTGGCGTTCTTTGTCACCCTTGTTTGGACTTGAGCGGGGTCGGACAGACGCGGAGCAGTGCAAAGCGTGAGTTAACATGTTTCCGCTTGTGCATACCCCAATGTGCGCGGCATTGAGCGGCTGGAAACGTGTGCTCGTCCCTGCTCTTCGTTTTGTTTGCGCTCCCTCAACGCCGCGCTCGTGCCATTTGGTGGCTATTTTCTGCTCGTCTGCGCTCCCCAACCTAGAAATGCGTTTAACCACGTTAATGTCGATAGCGAATATGATATTCTGATCAGGGCATTAAATAATACCTATACAGAAGTTTGCACCGATTTTGGTGAAAACAAGGGTCGTGACAAGGTGACGCCAACTTTCGCCAAATTGCGCCACCGCTGAAAATGAATGTCGTTTTCGTAATCAGCGTGTCGAATCTGGAAGTCAGGGTATTTGAGGAATTAAGCATGAGCGCAACGTCCCTTTAGAGGTTACCACTGCATCCCTGTCAGTTTCTGTAGTGGTTGATTTAACTTGGTAACAGTTCTCATGGGTACCCGTGTTTAGGGGGGACGGGCAGATTAGGGTTTCAGAGCTATGAACGCGGATTCACACATGCAGCTACGATCTTATCTATGGAATATATACCATTTCCACTTAAAAATGGACATCGTTCAAATCGAAGTTGTTTTTCAAAAAATCGTGGACAATTTTCAATTCGACCAGGAGATTTTTCAAATAGCTCAGGACGATTTTCAATTCGACTCGGATTTTTTTCAAATCACCGTGGACATTGTTCAATTCAAAATAAATAATTTTCATATCAAGCTGAACACCTCTCAGATAAGAGCACGGTGTCCTTCATTCGCGAACCTAAATCTTTCTCAATCATCAGAAATGTTCTCGGGCATTACAGGTTTTCTCTCGCCAACCAATCGTATATTTTTCGTGAAGCTTGATGCGGTCTTTCAACAGTTCAAACGCAAAGAACACAAACCAACCCTTTAATTGTGAAAGGGTTGTCCAGCTGCCAGAGCAGTTAAATTTACCATCACAATGATGACGTACTTGACAGAATTCTACTTCGTCCCCTATACTTTATGCCTTGCACTTTCTACCTTCTGCACTTCTTTCTTGTTCCTTCGTGACAGACACGGAGCTGGAAGCGATACGAAGTATTATGTTGTTGCAGATGCTGAGATGGGCCTGCGGCTGGACGCGACTGGACAGGGTCAGGAACGAGGATGTCAGAGCGGTCATGCAGACTGCCCCTGTCCAGCTGAAGGTGAGGGAACAGCGACTGCGATGGTATGGGCATGTGCTAAGGAGGCCACAGGACCACCCGATAAGGAAAGCGATGGACTTCGAAGTGCAAGGCAAGCGACCGCGAGGAGCCCCAAAGAAGAGGTGGAGAGACGTAATCAAGAAGGACCTAAGTGAAGTCACGGCCACAGCAGAAGATGCAGCGAAGTGGCGACGACTGATAAAGACAGCGGACCCTGCGACTGCGCGGGACTAACGCTAGGGAGAAGAAGAAGAACATCGACGAGATTATTTGCAGTGGTGTTGTTTCTACGTAATACCAAACGGTACAGTAATGGAGGTACATTTCTTTTTAAATGAAAAGAAGTCTCGTGGAGTGTCTGCTGCAAATGCGTTCCACCCGCATTGTCCCCCTCCCCTGCTCTGCAGTATCGTTAAATTTTCATCGCTGTAGGTGTCATTAACCACAAGCGTATGAAAATGTTTGGCTTTTAAGAAAGAATTCGCTTGGCCCTCGGTGACATTCTGGCTCTAGCTCGCTTACACGTAATGTGGACTCACTAAATTTTTGTACACTTTAAAAAATAAACTTGCAGAAAGTCCGCCGTGGCTCTAGCGTGATGGCGGACAATATTATTCACTGTGCCCCGTCGATAAGTACAACTTGCTAGTTGCCCGGCAGTTTATCAGAGCATCTTACCTATGCCCTGGTAGAAATCATTCAAAACTTCACTTTTGTTTAGTAAATGTTTCAAGAATGTGAGTAAAAATGAGAACGAAATCCCTACATAAATTCTTTATCCACAGATAAAAGTTGTATTGGCTCATGCTTTAGCTGATTTTCTCTCGGTGAACTTCTTATCGTGTATCTCTCCTGGGAATTCGAGCTGAAAAAGTAATAAAAATAGTAAAAGAAATAAGTCGTTGAAACACGTATCAATCAAAGTTGATATAAAAAATATATTGGCACTGAACGACAAATACTTGACAGGTAAAACAAATAAAGAGCCTCAAGGAAAATGAAGCCGAGAACTGCCCAGAACTCCAAGGACAGAAGCAAGAGTGACGGAAACTTTTAGCACATCCAGAACACCGTTATGTTGGCTGTAATCTACGTGGGTTGATCTGGACCTTCATCCCTGCGCTGCCTGAGAATCGATTGTAGAATTGTTGGAGGTCGTGAAAAAGTTAGCGGAGAAGTGGCTAGCTGCTGGAAGTAGGACACGGCTTGAGCGACTATCACAATACTTAAATAAGACTAGCACAGAATTTTATCACTACCCTAGAACCTTAGATTCCTGTAATGCTGTAGATCGTAGAATCTATGAACCTCCTGTCCTATTTTTGTGTCGAAAGTATATCAGTGTAGAAAAAGTGTGGTAGTATTGCTTCCCTGAGGTTCATTCTTCCGAAGCAGGATAACTTTGTAAATCAAAGACTCCATTTTCGCGTAAATTTGTTGATAACGTCCAAGTTCGCCTTTCCTTGAAACCTTGGCATGTCCAGATAATTGAAAGTTTTTCTCTGTGCCAAACAGGTTTTTTATAGTGAAGCGTTTATTGTGCCGACGTTTCGACTAGCTCGTCGTCTTCAAGGCCTGAAGGAAGCATTTCGAAATTCTCAAATGAAACTTATCCTACTTAACGCTCACTCACTCCTAACTAGTAGCAACTCGAGCAAAAGGTGCAATCCGAGTCGAATCCAACAGTGGTCACTCACCTTGGCTTCACCACCACCCTTAGCCTCTCCGCGCCAGAATATAGTAGGAAATGAGACTGACCGATCACTGCACTCCCACCATGGTGCGTACGTGCAGGTTGTCACGTTCATTTAATCAGAGCTCACATAGTGGAATGTATGGCAAGAAATCATCGGTTATGGAGATGCATTCATTCCTGTTATTCATATATGGATTACGAAGTTTTATCCAGAAAGCTTCGAGAGGTTTTCCTAGCACCGATGTCGTTTTCGTAGGCCAGTATCGTACATTTGACGTCGAAATCGGAACCAGCATGACTTTCCCTTCTGTGTTTACCGAGCGGTCTCTTAGCCTTTGACCGAACTTGCGTTGTAGAAAATTGCGTAATCTGATCATATGGGAAAGCCGGAGACTGTGCACAGAGATCTGTGGTTTATCAGCTTCAGTGCCTAACTTGTAGTGCCTTATACATTGGAGAAACTGGAAGGCAATTAGGCGTGCGTGTAAAAGAACATCTTGCTGGCAAACGGAGAGAAAACTTGGCTGCACCGCTCGGTAAACACAGAAGGGAAAGTCATGCTGGTTCCGATTTCGACGTCAAATGTACGATACTGGCCTACGAAAATGACATCGGTGCTAGGAAAACTCCTCGAAGCTTTCTGGATAAAACAACGTAATCCATATATGAATAACAGGAATGAATGCATCTCCATAACCGATGATTTCTTGCCATACATTCCACTATGTGAGCTCTGATTAAATGAACGTGACAACCTGCACGTACGCACCATGGTGGGAGTGCAGTGATCGGTCAGTCTCATTTCCTACTATATTCTGGCGCGGAGAGGCTAAGGGTGGTGGTGAAGCCAAGGTGAGTGACCAATGTTGGATTCGACTCGGATTGCACCTTTTGCTCGAGTTGCTACTAGTTAGGAGTGAGTGAGCGTTAAGTAGGATAAGTTTCATTTGAGAATTTTCGAAATGCTTCCTTCAGGCCTTGAAGACGACGAGCTAGTCGAAACGTCGGCACAATAAACGCTTCACTATAAAAAACCTGTTTGGCACAGAGAAAGAAGCTTCAATTTTTTGATAACGTTTCGGAACTAGGCCTTTCTTCTGAACAATTAAGATACCATAGCACAAGCACATCGCATGAAAACAGTGTTAATAACAGGTGCATCCTATCAACGACCTACTGCAAGGGAGGGGGTGGTGGAGTAGATGAGGAGAGGGAATGACCATCTTGTAGTCACGATGGTTGTCTCGCACGTGGCGCTGTCGTATTCTATAAGCTTCATACATATCTCCCTGTTATTAATCGGTGGTGCACGCTTATTTTTCTTATTTTTTTACCTTTTTCTTCTTTACCTTCGTTCCTAAAAGCGTAAAGGAGGAGCCACTATTGGAGCAAAAAAGAAGACTCGCCATAGAAGCAGGATGGCTCCTATACTTGCGATAGTGTTCATGGAAAGCCTAGAGCAAACAGCTGTGTCATTGGGAAAATTATATATCGG